CCTCTCATTTTACACCTCTGTCCTCTAGTTTTGGACTCCCCTACCCTGGTGAAAAGACTTTGGCTATTCACCTTATCTATGCCCTTGATATTTTTATAAACCTCTATAAGGTCACCCCGCAGCCTCCGACGCTTCAGGGAAATAAGTCCCAGCCTCTCCTTATAACTCAAATCTTCCCGTCACAGTAACATCCTTGTAAGTTTTTTTTTGCACCCTTTCCAGTTTAATAACATCCTTCCTACAGCAGGGTGACCAGAATTGTACGTAGTACTCCAAATGTGGCCTTACCAATGTCTTGTACGCTTGTAACTTGATGTCCCAACTACTATGCTCAGTGCTCTGATCGATGAAGGCAAGCGTGCTAAACACCATCTTCTCCACCCTGTTTACCTGTGATGCCACTTTCAAGGACCTATGTACCTCCACCATTGAGTATTACAATGTGTCAGTGATAATGTAGATTAGAGTGCTCACATCAACGTATTTCCTTGGTTAGTCATTCCTCATGTTACATGTGCTTCACACATTGAGGTGGGTGGGATTGATTTGCTTCAAAACACTTCCATTTTCTCCTTCAATCCCTTTGAATTTATAGCACCCTGATAGCAGCCAACCTAAGACGCCCTTGTTCCAATGGTCATCCTGAACATTGCTGTCTTGTTCTGTACGTTTGAAGTAGGAGCAGGAATAGGACCAGTTGGCCCCTCAAGCATGCTGTGCTATTCAAAGGAGTGCCACTCCTTGTGCTCTTAAAGAAGACTGAACGTGAATGCTCCTTGTCTGACTTGGCTGGTTAATGGGTTTAACTCTGCCCCCTTTAGGGCAGCACAGTGGCTCAGTGGTTAACACTGCTGCCTCACAGCGCCAGGCACCTGGGTGTGATCCCAGCCTTGAGTAACTGTCTGCGTGGAGGTTGGACTTTCTCTCCTGTGTGGGCTACCCCATGTGCTCCGGTTTCCTCCCACAGTCCAAAGATGTGCATACAGGTGGATTGGCCATGCTCAATTGCCCATAGTGTCCAGGGATGTGGTGGCTCGGTGTGTTCGCCATTTGAAATGCAGGGTTACAGGGATAGGGTATGGGGCTGGGTCTGAGTGGGATCGTTTATGGAGAGTCAGTATGGACTCGATGGGCCAAATAGCCTGCTTCATGGTGTAGAGATTCTGTGAAGTGGGCAGGTTCGGAGTTGGTGAAGAAGTGGTGTGTCCTGCTTCCTTTGTGAAGGAAACACAGCGTATTCGATTGCAGGACTGTTGCCATGCAGAAAGCGCATCAGCCAGCTCCCACAAACCACAATGCAATAATGAAGGGATGGCCTGTTGGCACGGTCGTTGGATGAGGGATAACTACTAGGCTCAGGACACCAAGGAACACACACACACACTCTCTCTCTCTCTCCCACACAAACTCACACTCTCACAATCTCTCTCTCTCTGTCTCTGACATGCATGTGCACACACACAGCATGCTATGTGGTGGACAACAGGGTGCTGCAGAAAGTGATGTTCTCCCTTTTATAGCAGAAGCAGCCAGGGCCTTGGTATCAGCAACAAGGGGGCATCAAGAATCATAGAGTCAGGGAACAATGACAGGCGCAGGAGGAGACCATTTGGCCCATTGTAGCAGTGCTGGCCTTCTGATTCACTGTGTACCATTACCTACACCCCCCCACCCCACAGTGCCCTACACACTCTTCTCAAGCTTATCGAACTATGATCAATGGCCATCTTGAAACAATGCGATGCGAAACATCTCATACTTTTGAATCTTTCTCTGCAATGATAGGCCTTAATAGTGTGTGGCAGGAGAACGATGGTTTGGGTGTATTGCTGCTGCAGAAACTGGCTCAGCTCTGTGTTAACATATGTAGTTTATCAGGAACGATGTGAATTCCCAGCAAGGAATGAAAACGTAATTAATATTTGCTTACATTAGGGCTGCATGTTATATACAGATTTCAATGCAGTAATCTCCAGAGTTTAGGTCTGTCCCTTGAATGTTGGCCCGCATCTCATGGTATTCCTTCACTCCACAGGCTTGCAGTTGCTAAAACCCCACAGGGTTTTACCAGAGAGCTGGGAGTTCAGTCAGACCATGATCATTTCACGTTTTACTCCAGTTCCTGAGAATTGGACTTTTCTTCTCAGCAGTTTTGTAACGTGTTGAACACGACAGTCAGGACAAGCACAGCAAACCCCAATAAACAGCGATGTAACACACATCAGATCATCTGTCTTGTACCACTGGGGGAGTAGGGTTTCGTTTTTGGGTGCTCACAAGGGGAGAATGCCCTTGTTTTTTTTACAAATTCAAGACCTTCCCAAGGTGCCTCTTAGGAGCTTTTTCAGCCACTTAAGATGTCATTACTGACATGAGAGCGAAAAGCTCAAGAATAGAGCATTTTAGAGGAGGAGAGGAAGAGGCGAAGTGGTTCAGGGAGCGAATTCCAGAGCTTCCACCCTCAGACAGCTATAGGCATGACCTCCAATTGGGGAGAGAGGTTCAAAACAAGGGAGGAAGCCAGGATTGGAAGTATGCAGAGCTTCCCAGAGAGTTGTATGGGCTGGAGTAGATTACAGAGAGAGGGAGGGCTTTAGGGGGTTGGAGGAGGTGGCAGAGGTAGGGAAGGGTATAAAGGCTGGAGGGGGGATTACAAGGATAGGAAGGAGTGTAGGGGACTGGAGGAGATTACAGAGATAGGGAGGGGTGTAGGGGGGCTGGAGGAGGTGACAGAGAGAGGGAGAGCTGTACGAGTTGGAGGAGGTGACAGAGATAGTGAAGGGTATAAAGGCTGGAGAAGGTTACAGAGATAGGGGGGGGTGTTGGGGGCTGGAGGAGGTGACAGAGAGAGGGAGGGGTGTAGGGGCAGGGAGTTGGCAAAGGCAGATTTGAAAACAAGGTTTACAATATTTGAAAATAAGGATTTTACATGTGAGGTGTTGGTCATCTGGGAGTCAGCGAGTGGTGGGAGTGATGGGTGGTGGTCACGATGTGCTGTGAATTGGGATTTGCCTGCTGGGGAGAGAGACTTGTTCTCGGGTCTCTATGGGAACATTGTTTACATTGGGATGAACTTAAGCTTCAAAGAGTCATGACTGCTTGGCTGGAGTTCAGAATTTCCTCATCTCTCTCAGATATTCCTCGTTCCTGCTTTTAACCCTCTTCTTTTCAAATGCTGACAGATTTTGAGGTCTCATGGGCCCAGCCTCTCTCGCAGGGATGTTGTTGGTGGCATCGCATGTTCCTCTCCTGCAATGCTTGGCCACAGCAACTGCTGAACAAGGGCAGAGTGCCCTGGCCCAGTTACTAAAACACTGTGTACTGATGTGGTGCATTGCATTCAGACCTCAGACCAGTACCAGGCCAGAATTACCAGCCTGTCACGGAGCTTTAGTGCCGAGGGGTTTAGAAGCTAAATTTAGACCATCAGCGGCTCTCAGTGGACCTCGATCTCCCTCGCTTTGCACCCTTTCCTTATTTGTTCATTGGACGTGGGCCTCACTGACAAAGTATATAGCGCACATCTGTGCCCCTTGAGAAGGTGGTGGTGACTACCTTCTTGAATCACTACAGTCATCAAGTCATACAGCATGGAAACAGACTCTTCAGTCCAACCAGTTCACGTCAATCATGTTCCCAAACTGAACTAGTCCCACCTGCTTGCACTTGGCCCATATCCCTCCAAACCTTTCCCTATTCATGTACCTATCCTAATGTCTTTTAAACGTTGTAACTGTACCCCCATCCACCATTTCCTCTGGCAGTTTATTCCACACATGAACCACCTTCTGTGTAAAAACAAAAGTTGCCCCTCATCCCCTTTTTAAATCTTTCTCCTCTCACCTTAAAACATGCCTCCTAGTTTTGAACTCCCCCATGTTGGGAAAGAGACCCTTGTCATTCTATTTTTATATCTCAAGCCCTCTATTCCCGGCAACATCCTGGTAAATCTTTCCTGAACCTTCTCCGGTTTAATAATATCCTTCCCATATCAGGGCGACCAGAACTGGACACAGTATTCCACAAGAAGCCTCACCAACATCCTATACAACCTCAACATAATGTTCTAACTTCTGTACTGAAAAGGCCTGAGCAATGAAGGCAAGCATGCTAAACACTTCTTTAACCACCCCTCTGTACCTGTGATGCAAATTTCAAAGAATTATGTACCTGAATCCCTAGGTCTCTCTGTTCTACAACACTCCTCAGGGCCCTACCTTTTATTGTATAAGTCCTGTCCTTGTTTGTTTCAACAAAATGCAACCTCACATTTATTCGAATTAAACTCTATCTGCTATTTTTTTCGGCCCATTGACCCAATTGATCAAGATCTTTTTGTAATCTTAGACAACCTTCTTCACTGACCGCTGTAGCACCAATCTTGGTGTCATCTGCAAACTTACCAACCCTGCTTCCTATGTTCACATCCAAATCATTTATATAAATGAAAACAAAAGTAGACTCAGTACCGATCCCTGTACAACATTGCTGGTCACAAACCTTCCAACCCTCTACCACCACCCTGGGTGTCGGTGCACAATGCTGGTAGGGAGGGAGATCCAGAATTTTGATCCAGTGACAATGAAAGACTTTATCAAATTGAGTGTGTAGGTCGATGCTGGGTGGTCCATCTGGTTTTAATCCTTTTCTCACAGGGGTTTGATGCAACCAACGTAGTTTGCTGAGTGCATGGTAGGGATAGTTAAGACCTATATTGCTACGACTCTGGAGTTTGTTTCTATATGTTGACCAGACTGGGTACAGTTGGCAGATTTGTCTCCCTAAGTGGCATCACAATCTGGTAGTTTCATGGTCACTGTGCCTGAAGGCTCTATCATTCCATATTTGCATGATTGAATTTAAACTCTCCTGTAAGCCCGTTGCTCTGGTGGGATTTAAACAAGTTCAGGAGGCCCCCGTTGTTGTATTGGGACAGGGCAAAGTTGGGATTGTGACCAGAAAAATATCACGTTTGTAAATCAGAACTTATTGTCTTGCAGGAAACTGGAAGAATTCCACAAGAATTTCATGGCCAACAAGGACCGAGCCATAACGGAAATCTATAACGAATCCAAGGAGCGAGCAAGGTAACTGTCCCACTCGTCAGACAAAAGCTGAAAGGTATAGTACATTGATCTGGCTCTTGGGAGACCCGTGGCTTACCGCCACACACACCACAACACCTTCCGGGCTGGCGTAAAATCTCAAAACTACTACAGTGTGGGAGAGGGCCACCCAGTCCAGTGCTGGCTCTTTGGAAAAGCAGTGTCATGAGACCCCACTGCAACCCTGAGCCCCACACATTTTTGTTGTTCTCTTTACTTGCGAGTCTAACCCTCCCCTTCTTTTGAATATCATGATTTAATTTGCCTCCATCACCCTTTCATGCACCCTCCCTATTCGCTGTGTCAAACAGTCCCTCCTGGTGTTGCCTGGTGGCAAACACTTCAATATTACCCCCCACCCCCAGCGGACCACCCCTACTTTCAAAAGCCTTGATCGAGTCCTCCGTCCATTGTACAGCTCCCAGCTTCAGCAGTAGCCCTCATCTCCCCCCATCCCTGCGTTCTTCTTACTTTCGCCCCGCCCCATCTTCAAAGCACTCACCTTCCATCTCAGAGTGGGGCTGGAAGGGCAAGTGAATCTGTGACTAGGAGTACGTGAGCTCTTGGCAACTTTCAGCTTTTATTGTAGGTTTGACAGTCAGCTAAAGCTGCTATACATTCCGATCACTTAATCCATACTATCAACACCCTTTCTTCCCCCAGAGCTCCACCCTTCCCCCACTATTGCATAAATGCTGCCCCCTCCACACTTCACACCAGCTCTGATGGAGAGTCATCCAGACTCGAAACATTAACTTGCTCTCTCTCCATGGATGCTGCCTGACCCACTGTGATTCCCAGCAGTTTTTTTTGTTTTCAGTACAGATTCCAGCATATGCAGTAATTTACTCCTAGCTAAAGACACTGCTTAGCTGCTGTGTTCCTGTGCATCACAGCGATCCAGGAGTGCTCATGTCAGCGGTATTCTTTCCTTCATTTTACCCTCATTGATCAGAGAAGTGATTCAGACTCCGTGTTTTAACACTGCAAACTTGCTGTTATTCATTCATGAAACGTGGGCATCGCTGGCTGGGCCCTGCATTTATTCCTCATCCCTACTTGCCCCTTGAGAAGGAGCTACTGAGCTGCCTTCTTGAACCGCTGCGATCCATGTGCTGTATGTAGACCCACAGTGCCCTCAGGGAGGGAGTTCCAAGATTTTGACCCAGCAACAGTTAAAGAACGGCGATATAGTTCCAAGTCAGGATGGTGAGTGGCTTGGAGGGGGCACCTGCAGGGGGCAGTATTCACATCTTTCTGCTGCCCTTGTCCTTCTGGATGGATGTAGTTGTGGTTTAGAAGATGCTGTCTGAGGATCTTTGGTGAATTTCTGCAGTGCATCTTGTAGACAGTACACACTGCTGCTACTGAGTGTCGGTGGGTGGAAGGAGTGGGATGTTTGTGGATGTGGTTTTAATCGAGTGGGGGCTGCTTTGTCCTGGATGGTGTTGAGCTTCTTGTGTGTCGTTGGAGCTGCACCCATCCAGGGGCAAGTGGGGGGTATTCCCTCACACTCCTGACTTGTGCCTCGTAGATGGTGGACAGGCTTTGGGGAGTCAGGAGGTGAGTTACTTGCCGCAGGATTCCTGCGTTTAGACAGCAGGTATCTGCAGTGATCCCAGTTGGAGATGCTGAAACTCCTGATCTTCAGGAGTGCATTCAGTTGGTCATTGCACAGCATGGCCACGACTGCCTTGTTTTGGAGTGAGGAGTGGGGGCTTTGCTTGATGCATTTTTGCTGCTTGCACTGACTTTGGCGAGCCTCGGTGAGGCGGGAGTCGTGCCTGGATGTCAGCTGAGCCACTTGCATTGGAATCAGAGTGATGGCACCAGAGGCTGGCTACACCCTAGCTTCTCCCCACTGAGCTGTTCGCATTCACCAAGCTGACGTCCCTGGGCCGGGTGCCACCTGCAGTTCTTGTAAGTTGACAATAAACAGTCTGCCCCTGGTTGCACCGCTCCCTGCCTCCTTTGCATCCCACAGTCCTCCAACCATTCCCCAATTCTGGCCTCGTGTAGATCTCCCTGTTCCTACCCATTGCTTAAATAGGGCATTCTGGGATGTTGGGTTATAGAGTGAGTGAGTGTGTGTGTGCGCACGCGCGTGCGCCTGAGAAAGAGAGTGTATGAGAGTCAGAGTGTGCATGTGTAGTGAGAGTGTGTGAGAAAGTGTGTGTATCAGTGTGTGACAGAGTGAATGAGTGTGTATGTTTGTGTGTGAGAATGTGAGTGAGTGACTGTGTGTATAGAGTGAGTGAGTGATTGTGTGTGTGTGCGAGAGAGAGTGTGAGGGTGAGTGTACATGACAATGTGTTCTGAGTGAATGTGAACGTGAGAAAGAGTATGATAGTGAGTATTTGTGTGTGTGAGAATATGTGTGAGGGAGTGAGTGATTATATGTGTATGTGATTGAGCGTGTATGTGAGTGTTGGTGAGTGAGTGTGTATGAGTGTTGGTGAGGGAGTGCGTGTGAGAGAAAGTGAGTGAATGTGTTTGAGAGTGTGTGGTGAGTGAGTGTGTTTTGTGAGAAAGAGTGTGACAGTGAGTGTATTTGTGAGAGTGTGAATGCGTGTGTGAGTGAATGAATGTGTGTTTGAAAAAGAGAATGTGAGTGTGTGTGTGAGAAGTGTGTGTGCGAGTATGAGAGTGAGTAAGTATGTGAGAGGGATTGAGTGCGTGACTGTGTGGAAGTGAGTATGTGAGTGAGTAAGTGTATGTGGGTCAGTGAGCGCAAGAGTGTGTGAGACTGTGTGTGTGTGTGTTGGGAGAATATCTTTATGTCAGTGAGTTCTGTCTCTCTCTCTCTCTCTCTCTCTCTCTCATACACACACATTCCATTTCCAGATGTTCTGTTACCAGTACTCCGTTCCCTCTCCCCTCAACGACAAGCAGCAGATTGTTCAATTCCTCAAACCGTATAGACTGTGACAAGACACCTCAGAGGAGGGCTGGGTAGGCGATGTGTAACTGTGACCCATGGGTGATAAAGCATCAGGGCAGGAGGAGGTACGGGGACCACTGCTGAGTAAGGGGACACTGTGGGCTGCTCTTCGAGTCTCTCGGGGAACACTGGAGAGATTGGGAAGTAGTGGGGGACAGATTTGAGAATTTTAGGCACAATTGGCAGAGGCAAATTTCAGACGCTGAGGCTCATGCAGGGAAACGGTAAGAGGGCAGGAGGTGAAGAGGGGTGTAGATTCTCAACCTCCAAGATGGAGTCAGAGGAGGTGGGACAGGAAAGGGTGGAGGGAGTCAACTAGTGAAATAACATTTATCCCTTTACCATTCATTAAAAAGAGAGACTCTGTGGCTCAAAGTCTCAATGCTGTTTGTGGGAGCTTACTGTGCACAAATTGCCAGCTGAGTTTACTACATTACAACAATGGGCGCACTTCAAAAAGCATACATCCATTGTCTGTGAGGCTTTGGCATGCCTGAGGTGGGAGGAGGCACTAGACAAATGCACTGTGCTTCTTTCCGGCTGTGCTGCAGAAAGCATGAAAGGTTGTCCCTGTGGATTTGACTGAAGCATAGACCTTGCTCCTGCATATTGAGACACCTGTTCCACACAGCTCATTGCTGCTGTGTACTTCACCATTCGAGATAACATCGGCAGCAGCTTGCCAGTCTCGACTGGCCCAGTCCTGTTCCGCTTCACGGAAACTTTAGTTAAAACCTGCTGAATGACTCAGCTTCTCATCTGCTAATACAAAATGATTTCATGGTGACTTTGAACTCTTGGTTTTCCTTATTGTACCTGGGAGTGTTTGATGGGGACAGTGTAGAGGGCGCTTTATTGTCCATTTCCTTTCAGTATTAAAAGAGTAGAAGCAGCAGCTAACCCCGTGCTGTCCCTGTCCTATGAGTGTTTGTGGAGACAGTATAGAGGGAGCTTTACTCTGTATCTAATCCTGTGCTGTCCCTGTCCTGGAAGTGTTTGTGGAGTCAGGAGAGAAGGAGCTTTACCCTGTATCTAATCCCGTGCTGTCCTTGTCCTGGGAGTGTTTGATGGGGAACAGTCCCAGGGGAATCTATTCTGTTGATTTTTCCTTCCTGTTGCATCAGTCCATTTAAGATGTGTGCAACATCCTTGGAACTGCAGCTTTTGCCTGTTTGGTTTGTAGAATGTGTACACGTTCAGTATGCATTCTGGACGTTAACCCCTCACCTCATCTGTAACATCACAGGCCATTCACCCATCACGCCCATGCAAGCTCATTGAGAGATCTCTCCAATGAGTCCTTCTGGCCTCACCTGTTGGCCTACCATTTGTTCCTTTTCAAGATTACAAAGGCCCAGTGCTTGGGACAATAATGCCAGCCCGAGAGTTTGAGGGGCCATCAGCGGGCACAGCATTATCCCACAGCTATTTGTCCTTGATGACAACCAGTGAGCAGCCCCACCCCCCACTGTGAAAATAAGACTTCTCAAAATCCAAGCTTGAGGGCATGTTTGCTTATCTTTGGTCCCCCTTCTGCCACACCACTGAATGAGGTAAGGTGATCACTTTGAATATTTTGTGCAACCCAGGATAATTTGCTGTAGAATGCCTCCCAGTCACCTCTGGCCTGAGTCTGTTCAGTGAGGCTGAGTGTAAGAATTGAGTCATAGAGATGTACAGCACAGAAACAGACCCTTAGATCCAACTCGTCCATGCCGACCAGATATCCTAAACTAATCCAGTCCCATTTGCCAGCATTAGCCCCTATCCCTCTAAACCCTTCCTGTTCATGTATCCATCCAGATGCCTTTTAAATGTTGTAATTGTACCAGCCTCCGCCACTTCCTCTGGCAGCTCATTCCATATACGCATCACACTCTGTTTTAAAATGTTCTCCCTTAGGTCCCTTTTAAATCTTGCCCCTCTCACCTTAATCCTATGCCCTCTAGTTTTGGATTCCCCTACCCTGGGGAAAAGACTTTGGCTATTCACTTTGTCCTTGCCCCTCATGGTTTTGTAAACTTCTATAAGGTCAGCCCTC